GTTCGCTGTCGAACTCTTCCAAGACAGGCAGGCACTCGATGTTATTTAGTGCCTCTTTGGTTATTACATTCTCTCTGGAATATAGCTCTGAGTAGTGCTGCACCCAGCGTTCCATCTGCTATGCTCAGTCCTGGATGATCACTCCTGTAGCCGTCTTCGAAGGAGCAGATTTCTTCTGTATTGGACCTAAAGCCTGCTTGATACCGTCATACATTCCCTTTATGTTACCTATGTCTGCTGCTATCTGTATCTGAGAGCAGAGCTGAAGCCAGTAATGGTTGGAACATAGCCTGACAGCCTGTTGGACTTTGCTACGAGCAGCTCAAAGAGCCTGCAAGTTGTACTCACTAGGACAGGCTTTGTATGCTGCTAGAGCTCTCCTCTTATCCTCGATGGCTGGCATCAACTCCTCTGAATGGGCTTTGAACCAATCTGCCGTCTTATTGGTTTTCTTGCCAAATGTGGACAAGGCGGTGTTATAAACAGCGTTCTTGAAGTGTTCCCATTGTTCAGGTGCATTTGCCAGGCCTGGAAGGCATTCCTCAAGCGCTTGGGCAAATTCCTCCACTTTTCTTTGATCACGGGTCTTGCTGATGTCAATACGTGGTCTTCCTTCCTTTTTGGTGTGATACAGTATCTTTGTTTGCAGTTTTACCCTATTACACACCAGGAAGTGATCACTATCGCAATCAGCACTCTAGTAACTGTGTGTGATCATAATGCTAAGAAGACTGGAACATCTAGTGAGGATCAAATCAGCTGGATCTTGGATGTCTCCAGGAAACTCTGTGTTGAAGCTTCATATTAAAGAACATGTTGCTGACACAAAGACCATAATAACAGCAAAACTCCAGCAAGCATACTGTCTGTAATCTGAGTGACTGGGAGGGATTTTTCTGGGTGGGGTGATTATCTATCCAGCACTAAGAAATAATTCTTCCCAGGCTTGGATTTGAAAGATAGCTCCCCAACTCTCTTATGAGTGTTCATTTTCCCTCTCTTTCCTTGGTTAGTGGCAGTTGTTTGTTTGTTGTTGATCTGTTCAATTGGTTACTTATATGTTCAGCAAAGAAAGCTACATACACAAGCCTGTAATCTAATGAAATCGTAAGTAAATAAATGTTTTATTTATTCGCTTACAAATGTCTCAGAGGAAGTTATTGAGATTTTAAGTGTCAGTTAATGAGAAAAGGGTGGACTCTGGGGAACTTTTATTTATTTGTTTGTTTGTTTGTTTGTCTGTCTCATTTATATGTTGCCTCTCTCCCAATAAGGGGACTCAAGGTGGCTCACAGTGTAAAAAAAGGAGAACTAGAAACACAATAAAGTATACATTAAAAACAATTAAACGGGAAGTTATTCTCCTCTATGAGTCCCTGTACTTCTATTGCATACCAAAAAGGAATTTTTCTAAAAATTCAAAACTCTGCAATAAAAATAAACAACCCTTTGCAGCCTGTTTTAAATAAAATGATATAAATAAACTCCTGAAAAAGCACTCTGTAGTAAGTAGTGCAATCACAAAAAATACCAGTTTCACTCAGAGTTGCAAAACATAGAGTATCTTACCATGTCTGAACCCTAAGTTCAGAATTCTTTCATGTTTGAAATCAATCCTTTTCTGCAGTTTCAGTGTGAAATTTAGTAACATGCATGCAGTTACACATCATCCTTTACTTAACTGATGAAAGAAGAGATGTTGGGGTCATTGATTTAAATGAAGGTACTTTTACTGCATTATTTTAATGTACAAAATATTTTAATGTACAAAAAGCCGCCCAGAGTGGTAGAATATACAAATAAATAAATAAATAAATAAATAAAAGCAAATCCATCTCTTAATCATATATTTACAATGCTAAAATCCATTTATTTTCATAAATTTGAGCATGAATTGGTTGTTTTATCTATAGAAACATATTGTATTATAATTGGAGTATAGATTCTGCACCAATTGCAGATATCATGTAATTGGTTGCTAAGCATGCAACAGGAGCAAGAAATCACCCAGACAGAGTGAAGGTCACTTGCAGGGACTTAGCAGTACTGTATTTGTTCCAAGTTACAAGTAATAGTGTAGAGACATTACACCTTGTGGTATATGATGGCTGGTGATATTTTTTTCACAATTACTTTTTTACAGAGATGCAAAGTTTTTTATACATTTCAGAATATTTGTTTGGCTTAAAATAAAGTTTTAATTTTAAGTCAAGTTAATTTAAAAGAATTAAACATTAAAATAAACTTACTATACCACTGAGTTTTTGTAAGATCTTTTAAATTATTTCTAACATTGTTTAATGGATTATTAGCTATCCTTCACCTAAGCAATTGAATATTCTGCCTCCTTCCATCTATAGTTTGTAGCACCATGATTATTTGCTCTCTGATGGTTGTTAGGCTTTGTTAATGCCTTTCTGATCTGCATTGCACTAATGGGGCAGTATACAAATTTAAAAAATAAACAATGAAATAAAGGGTTTTTCGAGACATCGTATAACGGCTGGTTAATTGGTACCTAAATAATATGGGATTAGTGATCAGTACTGTGACTGGTGAGCATTTTATGAAGTTGCAGTGGGTGTTGTGTGCCTCCTTGTTAATGATTTTATGTATTCTCTGTATTTGAGTGATAATGTTTTGTTCTTTGCTGTTAGGAATGAATAGAATCATAGCTCTATTATGATGATCTAATGCTATTTATCACAGTGGAATTAAAATTTCTGGCATAGTGGAATTAAATTCCATGATATGCATATTCTTATATTTGGGGATTCTGCCTGTTGCACTCTATAACAAAAGCAAGTTTTTCTCATGAGAATTGTGGGAAACAGTGATGACTACATGTATAAATGAGTCATCACATGTCAAAGAGCACACACAGAGGTCTCCTATTCCCTCAGGATCATCTGTTAGTAACATTATTCACTGCAGCAGTTTGCACATTCAGACGTCTGTTGTAAAGTGTTAAATAAAAGATGGTAATTGAAAACGATTGGTAACATTTTTTAGTATTAACAGTATTATATTTTCTCAGCACTAGCTTAACAATATAGGTTAAACAGTGAATCATTTTTAGTTACATAAAATAGTGACTAGAAGTTGGTGAGAAATATGTTAAAATATTTCTTGAAATGTTGGTGGCCAGGATTCAGCATTCCAAGGATACGTTTACTGATGGAACTGCTTCCCTAGTGGAACCAATATTCCACCCTCTTTAAATGCACTTCAAAATCCTGTTGCTGAGGGAGGGCTGGGAGAAAAATCTTTGTTGTTCTTGTGTTGAAATGCCAGAACAATATTAGTTAGGCTACTTACGTATCTTTATTACTAGGAAAAGGAATTGCTAGAATTCAATCTCACTTGCTTTAGCGTTTATATTAATTTCTTTTTAGGTCTGCTTTGGATATTTCATAACAGCTAAAAATAAACTGACCTCAAGTTTGGATAGTGCTGGCAACCTGGAACTAACTACCGTGATTTCACTTTAGGTAATAAGTTTATTTTTCTCTTGTTTCTTCACTATTATATGTGTTGTATTTAAAAATGGGAATGATTCCTATTAGACTCAATAGACTTTTCTTCCGAGTAGAAACATATATTTGCATAGCATAATATGTTGGTTTCAAAACAGTACTGTATTGTTTAAAAATATGCAGAAATGTAAATGCCCATTTTGGAGTTACAATCCAAGCTAAAGTTCAGAAATTAAACATGTAAAAATTCTGGATATTCAGTTGTGCTTTATAATATTGTAGAACAGTTTGGTGTTTTAATGTCATAGTCAGCACACAGTAGAGAAACAAAACTAGTCATTATTATTTATTTGGCTCATAATCTGCTTTGAAACAGTTAATAATGTAGACTTGAAAATAATAGCATAACTTAAATTTACTTCTCAGTTTAATTGATGATCTGGTTCAGGGCTAAACTGTAGTTTCTCATTAATGTATTAAATTTAGTTTTGTGTACTTCTACCCTTCCTTCTCTGATCCTCTGCCAGCAGATATGTAGTTTTCAGTTCAAATTGCAAAAAAAGGTGGATCTTTTAGCTGTGTTAGGGTTCTAACCAGAAAGTTTCTACTGTGTCAGATAGAATTTCCCCTCATCATCAGGTCCTATGGCAGTGTACAGTAACATTAAAGACAAGAAAAACCACTAAAACAATTTAACATTAAAATAGGTAACACAAAAAAAATTAAAATGAGAGTTGAGAAATTAAAACCTTCAATCTCATAATTCTAAGAGGCAAGATAAACATGTTTTTATTGCTCACCTAAAACCCGTTAGGGATGGGATCACTCTTACCTCTTTGATGACAGAGTTTACTACTTGGAGTGCTGCCAGAGAGAAGGCAAGTCACTGATTTTCTTTTCCCTATTAAGGTCAGCTTTTCCTTGTAACATTTTTTAATAAAATACTGTCAGAATTCTATACATATTATATTTTATTTGTGTAAGCCCTGAAATATTTGAATGATGCTGATGACACTAAATAAATTCAATAATAATCCATTGTTTATGTTACATGTAATTTGTTCACTTCATGTATGCAGACAGTTATTTTTGTTTCATTTTTTCCCCTTGGCAGATGCATAATGAGCACACTGATGCAAGATAAAGTTAGCGAACAACTCTAAAATGCCCAGATTTGGGTCAGCAAAGGTAGTTCATATTCAAAATTCTGACAGCGATAGCAACATGGTGGAGAAACCAACCGGAAGAAAGGTATAAAAAGAAGTATGCTTAAGAAGATTACATTGTAGTAGGCTAATCCATTGAAGCATAGAATGTATCTGAGTCAGAACAGATTACACAGAGTGTGAAGATATGTTTATTGTGGTAGTAAACAAAATTGTAAGAGGCACTTGTTAAAATAAGCATCCCATATTATACCTTTCTAACCAGAATAGATAAAAATTGTGATTTAAATCAATTTAATTTTTATCTATCCTGGTAGATAAAATGATTTAAATTTTAAAAAATGATTTTTTTAAATTTAAATAACTTCCTTATTTAAATTATCAAAAATCAAATTCTTTTATTTAAATTGTGATTTAAATCAATTAGATTTTAATCAAATCCACCCTGCTTCTAACCTCTGTATTTTTTTTCTCCATATAAACTGATAGCACCATTGGGTCTAGCAGCATCTCATGTGCCGTGTCTAATAACTTTTCAGATTATTTTATTGAAGATGTTCTGATGTTGAGGACACTTGAATTATGGGTCAGATTTTTACAAAACTTGCAAAATACAGATTGAAATCATGTTGAATAGTAATGCAAATGGTGTAACTCTTAGATGCAAAATGCTACAAGTTAAGAAATCTTCATACAAATTATCTATTGCATACTGAGTTGCACAGCCCAGCATACAACAAATGATGCCTATGAAGGTTTCTTAATTTATAACCATTCACTTTTCTGGGGGAAAGTGGCCACTTTGTACTTGAATGTCGGTTTCAAAGGAAACAAAACAAAGTGTAGCCACACACGTACACTGGCTTTTAGGAAAGCCAATTTTAATAAATTCTTAACAGTGATAAGTAAGGTCTCATGTCAGGAGATCCTAATAGGAAAAGGAGTCCAAGATGGATGGGAGTTCCTTAAAAAATAAATTTCTAAAAGCACAACTACAATTGCAACAAGAAAAACAGTGGAAGATAGCAAAAAAGATCAATGTGGCTTCACAAAAAGTTCAGAGAGGACCTGAAAACAAAAAAAGACACATATAGGAAGTGGAAGGAAGGCCAGACCCCAAAGGAAGAGTTTATGGAATTCCTATTATTTTCTTAAAATCATGGAGGATAGATGAAACACCAGATATCTGGAGGAGGTTTCACATTGTTATCTTCAAGGTTGACTCAGCCTTCCATCCTTCCGAGGTTGGTAAAATGAGTACCCAGCTTGCTGGGGGGGCAATGTGTAGCCTGTATAATTAAAATTGTAAACCGCCCGGAGAGTGCTTGTAGCGCTATGGGGCGGTATATAAGTCCAATAAATAGATAAATAAATAAATAAAGGACAAAAAGGAGGAACCTGGGAATATTGACCTGATAATCCCAGAGGAAATTTTGGAGCAGATTGTGAAGAGGTTGCTCTGAAAGCACCTTGAAAGCAATGTAGTTATAACTGGAAGCGAACATGAATTATTCAGTAATCAATCCTGGCAGACTATCTTATTGCGCTTTTTGATTGGATAACCGCCCTAGTAGACAGTGGGAATGTGGTAGATGTAATATATGTTGACTTTGGCTAAGCTTTTGACCAAATGCCCCATGATATTCTGATTAACAAACTAACTAAGTGTGGGATGAATAGCTCAAGTGTCAGGAGGTCAGGAGGTCACATAGTTGATTACAGAATCATAGAGAGTTCTTATCAATGGCTGCTTCTCAAACTAGGAGGAGGTAACAAGTGGTATATCACAAGGCTTAATCCTGGACCTGGTGCTCTTCAACATTTTTATACATGACTTGGATGAGGGAGTGCAGGAAATGTTTGTCCCATTTTCGAATGACACAAAATTGTTTCTGTCTGGAAGACAGAAACAAAACACATCAGTCATCTCAATTGTTTAAGCACTGGGCTGAAAACAGCAGAATGAAATTTTACAGGGATAAGTGCAAAGTTCTACACCTAGGAAAAAGAAACCAAATGCACAGTTACAAGATAGAAGATACTTGGCTCAGTAATGGTACGTGCGAGAAGGATCTTGGAATTGTGGTAGATTATGAGCTGAATATGATGCAAAACAATGTGAGCAAAAAGGGCAAATGCTATTTTAGGCTGCATTAGCAAAAGTACAGTCTCCAAAGCATATGAAGTATTAGTTTCCCCTCTGTTTAGCACTTGTTATGCCTCATCTTGAATAATGTATCCAGTTCTAGACATCATGATTTAAGAAAGCCCTACAAGGAAAGACTGAAAGAACTTTGGGTATGTTTAGCCTTGAGAAAAGAAGACTGAAGAGAGATGTGATAGGTCTTTTCAAGTACAGTGATACCTCGCAAGACGAACGCCTCGCACCACGACAAACCTGTGAGACGATAGTATCTTGCGATTTTTCCATGACTTGCAATACAGCTTTTCCTATGGCCGTGCTTTGCAAGACAATTTTTTTGTCTTGCAGTCATTTTCGCAAGATGAAAAAAATGGCAGTCATCTTGCGAGGCATCTCATAGGAATGCACTGAAGGCAATTTCAATGCATCTTGATAATCACAGAGTGCAGAACATGTAATAAATGGCTCAAGTTACAGAGAGTCAGATTTTGGCTGTATCTAAGAGAAAACCTCCTGCTAGAGTGGTATGTCAGTGGAATCAGTTACCTTGGAAGGTGGTAAGTGTTCCAACACTGGAGGCACTCAAAAGAAAATTGGACCACCAACTGTCAGATATACAGTACTTTGATATGGATTCCTTCATTGAGAAGGGGGTTGGACTCAGTGGCCTTATGGGCCCCTTCCAACTCTCTTATTCTGTTTTTTCAGCCATTATTTTTAACTTGTTGGATAAAGTAGGTAGAATATGTGGTCCAATTAATTGCTGTTTCCTAAACTGTTTCAGCCCATGTTGATTATACTGTTTCCCTGCTGCATTCTGTTCTTCTATAAATGCCTTCCCATTGTCACAAAAAGGACGGAAAATACAGTAGAAAACCCCCAAGTCACATGTACCGAGAGCATGTTGAGGAATCTAAGGCTCCCTCAACCTGTTTTACTTGTTCTAATTGTAGAAAAGTAATGCAATGGTGATTTCCAGCATCTCAACCAAGAGGCCTCTGGTAATTAACCTCTTTTCCATCTCTTCAAGATCCCTGGCACACCCACCTGGAATTATTGACATTAGAGCAATTTTCAATAGATTTTATATCAGATTAGGAGTACAAAATATTTGCTTGGTACCATCAAGGGTTTGGTTTACTTTCTCAGTTGGATTTTATGGAGAGCTGTTGACTGTGAAATAATAATTTTTTGCCTTTGAAGTCTGACTGATTTCATTTATGTTTAAGCATATTTTAATGTCAAGAGTATGAAAAAATATAGTAGTTTAGAATTTAGTAATTCCAATATCCAGCTGGAATTAATGTTGATTGGTTGCTTCCACATTAGCACCATCACTTTTTATTTCTGTCCTTTGTTTAAAGTGCGTCTTATGGTGCAAAAAATACGGTAATGTTGATTGGTTGCTTCCACATTAGCACCATCACTTTTTATTTCTGTCCTTTGTTTAGTTGCTTTTTATATGTTATCCATAGGATTGACAGGCAGAGAGAAGAGATTGCACAGAGGTACTTGATTAAGAAAGAATAAGATTATTGCTTTCCTTCCATTATTTTTTTCTAATAGCAAAGAAGCTTTGTTTATCTGCACTAGAAAAGAAATAAAGTAAAAATAATGGAAATGAAATAGATTTTACCCCCTATGGAGGAACAATTTGAATGACTCACTTAGATACTGTACATCACCTGTAACTTCCTGCGCTATAAGCAGTGGAGTAATAAAATAAGCTAACACCATAATCCTGTACATTTACTTGTTCATGCATTATTTCTGAGTAAACACTAGAGAAGGATCTTGTCATGTGGAAAGGCACTGCCCAAATTAGAAGCATATAGATTGCATAGGACAAATGCAGATGTTTCAGGAGACGTCCCATTTCAGTCCTTCTGCCCTCACCTGCAGTGATCCCAAGACAATTTTACAAAGTACTTCTTTTAGACTTCTAATAAGGACCACTGTCCTGTTAGTCATTGAGGGAACCACATCAGCATTTTAGTGTGGGTCTCTACTTAATGCGGGCCCAATGTCAAAGTGCTACATTGTTCTACATTTCTGTGCAAAAGATGGTGTTTGCTGTATATACTGAATTCATTGTTCACTATAAAAATGTTCAGCTGTAGTATTCTCACCCCCCTTTTTATTTTTATTTTTTTATTTTTTAAATCTTGGGAATATGTTTTTCTGGGTTTGATGGATTGCAGACTTATCCTCTTATGTATGTGAAAACTTCTATAAGTAAAAAAAAAACTTTCCATTCAACTTCTTGTGCATGGGAATTTCTGTATGAAGCCATGGCAGGGTTCAGTCTGGTTCCATGCTGTTAAACATACATGAAACAACTGGAAATTGTTGTCCAGGTTTCTGAGGTATGTTTCCCCCAGTATGATGATGACAGTAATTCCTGCCTTTCTGTCAGAATCTAGTACAGTTGTTCTAATTCAAATCAGCATCTGATGTAAGTAATACAGTTTATGGTTGCAAACAAATTGAAGCTCAACAAGTAGTGGAGCCCAGTATGTGCTGTATGTCCTTATGCTCCCCTTGAAGATTCAGGTTGTATTTGGATGTCCTGTATTCTGTTGTGAACCTCTGTGTCAACGTTTTGACATTGGCACTGAAGTGTTTTTGCACTAGTAATGATAGCATGTGCCTTTATAGATGTACACCCTATGGATTACTGTAAGTTGTTCTAGTTAAGACTATCCTTGGAAAGTGTTTCATTTCTGGCCCAGATTGCTGTAATGAAATTGTTGACTAGTGCTGCTTATAGGGAGCATGTAACTCCCTTGTTAAGACTGTTCATTGGCTACCAGTCTTTTCTAGACATAATTCAAACTACTAGTTATGACTCCATGCAGCTTGGTGTCAGGAAGTTTGGAACATCCATATTCTCCATATGTGTCTTTTGACATAAAGGCACATGTACATAAGAACAGAAGAAG